CCAAAATGTGATGTGCTCCCTTTAGGAAGCTGGCACCCTGTGTTTGATAATGCTGAATGTAACAAAGTCTGCCCAGTGTATTCCCAGTTGTTACTGTTTAAATCTTGAGCCCCAGGGCGTAGAGGTTGAACTCCAAGTAAACGTGCGGTCAGGCACAGAAAACACTGGAGTTACTGATATCTGGGTGGGTTACATGGTCAAATATTGTTACATGTAAACTTGAGAGATTATGGTAACTATGTGCACGTTTGGTAATGTCACGCTTTTCTACCCAAACATATTATTTTTAGATTTGCTGTTTTTTATGTGTGTCTGTGTGCTTGTGTGTGTGTGTGTGTGTGTGTGTCTGTGTGCTAGTGTGTGTGTGTGTGTTTATGTGTGTGTGTGATGTGTGTGGATGCATGTATGTGTGTGTTTGAGAGAGAGAAAGAGAGAGAGTGGGTGAGAGAGAGAGAAAAATCATTCACTTGTAGCCAATTTTGATTGTATTTTTAATTTTTAACATTCATTCCCTCATTACCATCTCGCTCCATTGCTAGCCTTGATAAAATTTGTTGGTGCTTTTTTCAACAGTGTATATAATTTGTTGTGCAGTTTACATGTTTTAACATGCTAGTATACTCCAGCCGTTTGCTTGATCAGCTTCAAGACATGTAGAAGACCTTTTCCTGTAGGGCAAATGCACTAGACCTGGTTCTCTGCCAGACTGATGTAGGTTAGAACAAATAATGATTGAACTTTTTAGACAGTTTTAACAGTATTTGGGTAACCTGGAGATCTGATTTATTGATAATACCTTTAATTGTGCCAGTAGACAGATTGGTTGTATTAAAAAAAAGCCTTGAAAACATTTCATATTTTAAATGTACGTAAAATGTGGTATTATTAATCTGGAACAGTTCAAGAAGTAATTAAGCTGCCTGATATAAGGTAATTCCAAATCAGTGTTTTTAAAAAGTTTTTATTATGCCCCCCCCCCCCCCCCCCCCCCCCATGGCCTATTGGCTTGCTATTGTGACGCAGGGAGAGAAATATCTGTATGCTTTCTGCTGAAGTCCCGCTGGGTGATGATGTCATTTCTGTGTGAAAATTAATTCAGAATAGAAATGTGCACAGAATTAACCAGGGAAATGTCTGTGAATATCAATCGATGAGGTAATTTCTGTGCAAAAATGCACACAGTGCAAAAATACCTGCACAGAGTTAGCCAGAGATATATTTGCAAATATCTCGTAAAAAAAAAACTCCCCCTTTGCCCCTGTTAAAGGGTAGGTGAGATATGTACTGTAGTACATGGAATTCAGATGCTATGTTTACAAACAAGATGAGAACAATCTTAGGCTGAAGATTTCCTCCTCTGAGCTGAATAAGGCACTGCACTGAGGACTGTAGGGGGGGAGGGGTGTTGAAAGTCCCTACTAGCTAGTAAGTGTTGGGAACAGTAAACGAGACTGCAAAAAAAATATATATATATTTAGATTAATAGTGTTTAAAATGTAAAGTTAGGTATCACCCCACTGGCCCCCCCCCCCCCCCCTTTCGTCTGGGAGATGATTCAGTGATTGCATTTATTCATAATATTTGAGAGGAGTAAATATTTAGAGATCTTTATTTATGCATTATAATGTGTAGAGTAAATAGTTCTACTAGTATTCTCGCCAGCCAGACTAAATGTGAGAGAGAACCAACATTGGACCCAACAAAGGAGGCTCTCTCTCCCTCTCTGTTAAGTCTAGTTATGTGAAAAAAAAAAGTTTACCAATGCCATATTTAGGCAGAACCCCTTGGACGTGTGAGAGACAAGTTTAAGTCCTCAGCAGGTGTTAAAACACGTGTTAAAGCACATGTTAATGCATGTGTCTGTATGGGACATTGTCACTGGTTTATGTGCGCAGGGTAGGGTTACAACCAAGAGACTGTCATTACTATTGTGATAGGTATTTATTGGTGAGTGGCTTGTGTTGTATTTATTGTCTAGATTGACCCAGAGATAATACATCTTGGTCACTGCAGAAAAGAACAAACTTTTATACCTCCTCATTTGATTATTATAATACCTCCGAACTCTTTGACTCCTCAGTATTTATCCTGGTGGAGTTTGAGGTGGATAACGTGTCGAAGTTTCTCGTCCAGAAATATTGTTTATTTCACAGATACTGAGGTATGTATAGGTGCTATTGACATTTTTGTAAAAAATTGATTGAAAATGTGTTAATTTTACTAATGGTTACTTTTCATCAAGATATGACTGTCTTATAGAAAAAAAAGAAAAAAAAATGTTACTGGTGATTATTGGTGTAATAAGGTGTGGATTTTAGATAAAAAGCAAGTTATTAGTAGCAACATCATTATTAGTAGAAAAACAGACAAATTATAAAGATCCTAGCTTTGCTTGTTTGTTTGTGTGTGTCCATTTCTGTGTAATAATCTGTGTGTGGGCTGCAGATGAAATGTTTGCCCCTTGAGCCTTTTTTTCTGCCCAAATTACCTAGCTCAATGTTGGAGGCTAAATGCCACAGTCTCATTTAAATAGATATAAATCCTTAAAAACTCCCACTGGGAATAATGGACAGGAACTTCAATAATGTTGTCTCTGATTTCTTGACACAAACCGACGTTTATGGACGTTATCTACGTAAGAGTTGGCTTCCTCCGCAGTATATGTTATTGCTTTTAGTGACATTCGCTAAGCCTGTTCCCAGTGGAGATAGGTGGGCCTAACTTACTTAGTATCACTGTTTAAAGGCCTGTTTTCAGTAGAGGTGGGTTGACTTAACTTACAGCATCAACATTGTAAAGGCTGTTTTTTTAGTGGGTTTGGGTTGACCTAACTAAGTACCACTTTTTGAAAGCTTGCTGTAATATTAATAAAGGTAATTTCATCCATCTCGTATGGAAAAACAACTTTTCTATGTTTTTCACTGATAATGAAATCTTTTCATCTCATAGTTCCACTCACTTTTCAGAAATATTCCAAATTCTTGGAATAATAAGCAAGATATTGATCAATTAAAATGACACCATCTCTTTTTTGGTCAAAATGTAGAGAAGAATCGCCGTGTTCAGATATTTAACACCCTTGATTAACCTCCCACAATGACAATAATTCGAAAGCTCTCTCAGTCGGTGCATTCAATTTATCATTATATGCCCTCGGGAATAGAATTTACTCAGAAATCTGGTTATTAGCTTCCACTTGATGGAATGTAGCTTCCAGTTGATGAATGTTCAGGAATCTTTATCTTTTCTTTGTATGAGGGTGTTTTGACAATGGGAGGGGGGGGGGGGGGGGTTAGTGGTTTAAGGGAGAAAATTTTCTGCTATCTACAATGTAATGGTCTATACAATTCAGTTTCTGATTTTACAATAGGTTGATTTTTTGTTATAATATTAATATTGAAATAAGTTAATTTTCTGATATTTATCTGTCATAAATTTTATATCTGATTGTGCTCTTCTCAGGAATGTTAGTTTTGGTTTGTGCACAGATAGCGTGATAATTGAGTTATAAAACATTTTTGTAACACGTTTCATAAGTGTGTGTTTCTATGGAGAATGGATACCTGACATTTCGTCACGAGACGAGTGTGTATAGAAAACATCATGATGGAGTATTTTTAATGGTAGCGCATGTAAACAAAAACAGAGTTGTATAAGAATGTGGTTTTCTTTGAGTAATTGAAATGTTTAATAAAAAAAAATTGGTTGCAGTTAATAGTTATCATTAATTTTCATCGTGTGGAGGTAAATACGTACAGGTTAAGAAGTTCAACATGAATTGAGAACAATTTTAATCAGCAAAATTTATCAAATTCTCATCTGACTGTTGAAGTTGGTTAACAGTTGAAATTGTGGATTATATTGCAGTAAATATACATGGAGTTGTACATTTCAATTTCTATAAGTTCATGAACAGCACTCTTGTTTCTAATGTCTCTGGTTCAGAAGCTGATTCAGAAGCTGTTGTGAACATTAAATCCCTGGAGATGTGAAATTTTTCCAGACTGTCACGAAAAGCAGCGCTAAATCCACGAAAATCGACAAAAATCTCCATCAGTTAATGTTTCCTTTCCAATTGATCCACAGACCATTTGAAATAAAGCTAGTTTCAGAATTCTGGTCTTCTGATGTTACCATCTATGAATAATAGTAACCTAAATAATAACTGACAATTAGCTTTTATTACATCTAAGACATGAAAGACATGAAAGAAGAGTGTTAATCCATTATAAATTGAGATTATAGTCATTAGTGCCAGTCATCATACTTCAAAAATAATTATTCTCAGAACATGAATGTGAATATTCCTTTTGAAGGATTTCCCACTTAACATGTGAGAAAATGAGTAAAGAAAGTTAATTGGTTTTGTAAGGGGGATTCAGAAACTGAGCAAACAAAGGAGTTGAGGGGGCAATGTCCCTTTTTTTCTGGTTTCCCTAAAGTTTCAAATCCATGTAACAGGTGTATAAAATGTTCTGTACACAAATCTGTCACTGAAACCCTTGTTTTATTCATTATGGAGCCGGAGTGTTAATGTTAGTAAGTGTCAGAATTGCTAATTTGAAAATTTACGTAAGTTTCCCAGATTTCATCTTGTTTTTCTCTCTTTTCCGTTTGTACATGTGATCGGAGCATGATGTTTTTTTTTTTCCTTCTTTTTGTGCCGCGGTGATCCTTTACTAGATTGACGCCTGTGTGTATTGATTTTTGTGCTGTTATCAAAGCATTAGACTCGGGACAGAAAGTCACCTTGACTGGGTGGTAATAGAGAGCCTATAAATGAGGGAAAGTGGCCGTGGAAATCATTTACTTTGGCTGTCACTTCAAGTAAAGTGGGAACAAGCTGGGAGACAGTCTTCACGTTGGCAGTGCTTGAGTCTAGAGATTGATATCATGGTAAATAGAAGTAGCTGTTAGATGAGTCTGACCTAAGAAAATATTTTCTTCTCCCATAAGGTATTTTTTATGTTGTAGAGGTGGAAAGGTCTAGAATATATATATGTACACTGGAGGCACATGTACTTTTATTTGTTTCAGTTCAACACCCACACTACTCATACTAATTAAGGGAAAAGTTCTCATTTAGAGGACAGCTGTCAGAGATTTATATATAGTAGTACGTGGGCAGAGAAAAAAAGGGAAAAAAAAGCCATATTATGTACACGACTGTTTAGTTATTGATTTAGTAATAGAAGTAATTGGTAAAGGTAGGAGGACATTACTGTACATTATCTATATCAGATCATTACTAGTACCAGACTTTGAGGGCTTTCACACAGTGGCAGAGAGGTTTGTGTGTGTGTGTGGGGGTGGGGGGGTGGGGGGGGGCATTTACTAGTCCTTGTATGTGACTTTTTGATGTAATAGGGGGCTGGGGTTTGGGTCCATTTTCTAGTATGTGATCTGTTATGATTTGTTGAGAGGGAAATGAAACCACATCAATGGACGTGGGAACAGCTTGAGGGTTATGCAGTAGACAGACAACGAGCTCTGCTGAGATGCCTTATGTGCCATATCGACACAAAGAGGATAGATGACGACACGNTGTCAACTTTGATAAAAGGATATTAAAAGGATCACAGGTGCGTTTTTGTGTGTCATAATTGCATGTGTGGTGCCGTATTGCAATGATAGCCCATATTGAGAGTTAAAAAAATAATAATTATCATTCTCAGACCGGAGCTGACTGGAGCCGGTAATGTGTAAATATATATATACTTTAAAGCAGTGTTAATGTCAACTTTGATAAAAGGATATTAAAAGGATCACAGGTGCGTTTTTGTGTGTCACAATTGCATGTGTGGTGTCATGTTGCAACGAGAGCCCATATTAAGAGTTAAAAATATTAATTATCATTCCATAATTCGGGCTCACTTAAGCAAGTAACATAAACCTATACATATAGTACACAGCGGTGTTGATGCCACCTTTATCTAAACCGTAGGTAAAAAATTCCAGGCCTAAAACGATGTCGGCGAGTCGAATAAATCGGAGAGGAATTGCGTAATTTTAATTCAAAACACGATTTGAGGTTAAATTATTGCCGCATCTAGGGCTAATCCTTTACATAGAGGTAAAATTTCGAGACTAGAAATATTTTTCTATCGGATCATAGCTAAAGACAAGTATTCGACACTGCAGTTGTACAATTTTAAACACTCATTTTACGGCAACAAACACGATTGCCTTCACCATATTGGGTATTTTGAATTCCTCCGTGAACAAACATACCTTATTCTCATCTAGCATCCAAAATAGCAAAAGAAATTATACGTACATTTTATCTCTATAAGTGTCTTGACTCATCCACCCGAACGTTTTCCTCGCGTTATCACCAGCTACCTGTCCAAATGACACAAAAAGTCATCAACAGCCGCGATATGCTCGCTACCTGTACGGGAGATCACGTGATCCGAACGCACATCGTTTCGCGAAGAGCTCGCGCTAAGCCGATTATCCTTTGATGTTTCTCCGCGTTACTTGTCCTTCTCTATTTAGGTCCAAGGATTAATAAAGTGTTGAAAATGTAAAGTTAGGTATCACCCCACTGGTTCTCCCCTTCGTCTGGGAGATGATTCAGTGATTCATTCAAAATATTTGAGAGGAGTAAATATTGATAGATGCTTATTTGTGTATTATAATGTGTAGAGTAAATAGTTCTACTAGTATTCTCAGCAGCCAGTCTAAATGTGAGAGAGAACCAACATTGGACCCAACAAAAGAGACTCTCTCTCTCTCTCTCTCTCTCTCTCTCTCTCTCTCTCAGACTCTTAAGTGACAGTCCAGTTATGTGAAAAAAAAAGTTTACCAATGCCATATTTAGACAGAACCCCTTGGACGTGTGAGAGGCAACTTTAAGTCCTCAGCAGGTGTTAAAACACGTGTTAAAGCACATGTTAATGCATGTGTCTGTATGGGACATTGTCACTGGTTTATGTGCCCAGGGTAGGGTTACAACCAAGAGACTGTCATTACTACTGTGATACGTATTCATTGGTGAGTGGCTTTTGTTGTAATTATTGTCTAGAATGACGTAGAGATAATTCATCTTGGTCACTGCAGAAAAGAACAAACTTTTATACCTCCTCATTTGATTATTATAATACCTCCAAACTCTTTGACTCCTCAGTATTTATCCTGGTGGAGTTTGAGGTGTGCAACGTGTTGAAGTTTCTTTTCCAAAAATATTGTTCGTTTCACAGATACTGAGGTATGTATAGGTGCTATTGACATTTTCTTTAAAAATTGATTGAAAATGTGTTAATTTTACTAAAGGTTACTTTTCACCAAGATATGGCTGTCTTCTAGAAAAAAAAAAGTTACTGGTGATAATTGGTGTAATAATGTGTGGATTATAGATAAAAAGCAAGTTATTAGTAGCAACATCATTATTAGTAGAAAAACAGACAAATTATAAAGATCCTAGCTTTGCTTGTTTGTTTGTGTGTTTGTGTGTGTCCATTTCTGTGTAATAATCTGTGCGTGGGCTGAAGATGAAATGTTTGCCCCTTGAGCCTTTTTTTCTGTCCAAATTACCTAGCTCAATGTTGGAGGCTAAATGCCACAGTCTCATTTAAATAGATATAAATCCTTGAAAACTCCCCAATGGGAATAATGGACAGGAACTTCAATAATGTTGTCTCTGATTTCTTGACACAAACCGACGTTTATGGACGTTATCTACGTAAGATTTGGCTTCCTCCGCAATATATGTTATTGCTTTTAGTGACATTCTCTAAGCCTGTTCCCAGTTGAGATCTGTTAGCCTAAGTTAGTTCCTCTTTTTAAAGGCCTGTTTTCATTGGAAGTGGGTTGACCTAACTCAGTACCACTTTTTGAAAGCTTGCTGTAATATTAATGAAGGTAATTTCATCCAACTCGTATGGAAAAACAACTTCTCTGTGTTTTTCTCTGATAAGGAAATCTTTTCATTTCATAGTCCCACTCTCTTTTCAGAATTATTCCAAATTCTTGGAATAATAAGCAAGATATTGATCAATTAAAATGACACCGTCTCTTTTTTTGTCAAAATGTAGAGAAGAATCGCGGTGCTCAGATATTTAAAACCCTTGATTAACCTCCCACAATGACAATAATTCGAAAGCTCTCTCAGTCGGTGCATTCAATTTATCATTATATGCCCTCGGGAATAGAATTTACTCAGAAATCTGGTTATTATTTCCCACTTGATGAATGTTCAGGAATCCTTATCTTTTCCTTGTATGAGCTCGAGGGTGTTTTGACAATGGGAAGAGGAGGGGAGATTTTGGGGAGAATTTTTTCTGGTTCATGTATCTACAATGTAATGGATTGTACAAATCACGCAGTTTCTAGTTTTACAATAGGTTGATTTTCTGATATAATATTAATATTGAAACTAAGTTAATTTCTGATATTATTTATCTGTCATGAATTTTATATCTGATTGTGCTCTTCTCAGGAATGTTAGAACTTTTTGGTTTGTGCACAGATAGCGTGATAATTGAGTTATAAAACGTTTTTGTAACACATTTCATAAGAGTGCGTTTTTATGGAGACTGGATACTTGACATTTCGTCACGAGAGGAGTGTGTATAGAAAACATCATGAAGGAGTACTACAGTGCATGTAAACAAAAACAGAGTTGTATAAGAATGTGGTTTTCTTTGAGTATTTGAAATGTTAAAAAAAAAAGAACTTGGTTGCAATTAACATTGAAACATTAATTTCCATCGTGTGGAGGTAAATACAGGTTAAGAAGTTCAACATGAATTGAGAGCAATTTTAATCAGCAAAATTCATCAAATTCTCACCTGACAGTTGAAGCAAAATTTTGGATTATGTTGCAGTAAATATACATTAAGTTGTACATTTCAATTTCTATAAGTTCATGAACAGCTTAGCACTCCTGTTTCTAATGTTTCTGATTCAGAAGCTGTTGTGAACATTAAATCCCTGGAGATGCATTTATAATTTCTCCAGACTGTCACGAAAAGCGGTGGTAAATCCAGGAAAATCGACAAAGATCTCCATCAGTTAATGTTTCCTTTCCAATTGATCCACAGACCATTTGAAATAAAGCTAGTTTCACAGTTCTGGTCTTCTGATGTTACCATCTATGAATAATAGTAACCTAAATAATACCTGACAATTAGCTTTTATTACATCTAAGACATGAAAGATGGCAACAGAAGAGTGTTAATCCATTATGAATTGAGATTATATTCATTTAATCCAGTCATCATCTTGAAAAATAATTATTTTCAGAACATGAATGTGAATATTCCTTTTGAAGGATTTCCCACTTAACATGTGAGAAAATGAGTAAAGAAAGTGAATTGGTTTTGTAAGGGGTATTCAGAAACTGAGTAAACAAAGTAAGGGGCAATGTCCCTTTTTTACTGGTTTCCCTAAAGTTTCAAATCCATGTAACAGGTGTATAAAATGTTCTGTACACAAATCTGTCACTGAAACCCTTGTTTTATTCAGTATGGAGCCGGAGTGTTAATGTTAGTAAGTGTCAGAATTGCTAATTTGAAAATTTACGTAAGTTTCCCAGATTTCATCCTGTTTTTCTCTCTTTTCCATTTGTACATGTGATCGGAGCATGATGTTTTTTTTTTTCTTCTTTTTGTGCTGCGGTGATCCTTTACTAGATTGACGCCTGTGTGTATTGATTTTTGTGCTGTTATCAAACCATTAGACTCGGGACAGAAAGTCACCTTGACTGGGTGGTAATAGAGAGCCTATAAATGAGGGAAAGTGGCCGTGGAAATCATTTACTTTGGCTGTCACATCAAGTAAAGTGGGAACAAGCTGGGAGACAGTCTTCACGTTGACAGTGCTCGACTCTGGAGATTGATATCTTGGTAAATAGAAGTAGCTGTTAGATGAGTATGACTTAAGAAAATATTTTCTTCTCCCATAAGGTATTTTTTATGTTGTAGAGGTGGAAAGGTCTAGAATGTATTTATGTTCTACACTGAAGGCACATGTACTTTTATATGTTCCAGTTCCCCACCCACGCTACTCATACTAATTAAGGGAAAAGTTCTCATTTAGAGGACAGCTGTCAGAGATTTATATGTAGAAGTACGTGGGCTGAGAAAAAAAAGGAAAAAAGGCAATATTATGTACACGACTGTTTAGTTATTGATTTTGTAATAGAAGTAATTGGTAAAGGTAGGTGGACATGTTCAATATCTGTCAGATCATTACCAGAATTTGAAGGCTTCCATATAGTGACATGGAGGTGTGTGTGTGTGTGTGTGTGTGTGGGGGGGGGGGGGGGGG